CACGACTTATTGCTCCTGATGTTCACACACCACAAATAACAACTCTATGATCAGCTAATGTATGTCATCAAGCCAGCCAGTGATGGCTGATTTCACTGGCCAAATATTTTCATGGCCATAGTTGGTCAATTACATCACCAATGACTCACAAGTTGGTGGGCGGGCCTGGAGGTCACTATTCAGAAAAAAGTGACAGGGTCTCCTCCAGGGGCAGACTGACAACTCATGGGGCCCCCAGGCAATAGGGGATCATGGGGCCCCTGTGTCCTTGCCCAAACTCAAAAAAGCCTATGAAAAAGGTACCAGGGGCATCTCCTGGGCCCCCTACTGACCCTGGGCCCTCGGGCAGTGCCCGAGTTTCCAAATGGTCAGTCCGCCCCTGGTCTCCTCAAAGCCCACTTTTTACCCAGTTATACTCACCTTCACAGCTCTTCCATGCTCTCTTTTGTCCATTGCAGAAACTTCCCGACATTGATCTCTATTATTATAATGCTGTAAGTAAATATTTAATATCAAGTGTCTTCTTGCTTATGATGGCACAATCTCCTTTTCTGATCTAACTCTAAAATTTACTGTACTAACACATTGGGCAGTCGCAGCATTATAAAAAGCAGGGCATCTGGGAGGTACGTATGAGTGTTGCTGCTTTCTCTCAATAATTAAAGCTTTGAGCTTGGCATATTCAAAAAACCGTGTGGGAGAGAAATGTCTGAGTCATCCTATTATAATGGCAAGTGGGTTTTTCCAGAGGTTTTCACGCTGTGTGAAATACCAGGAATGTGCTTTTCTCAGGGAGAGATTCCCACAGCACACCTCACTGCTACACCCTGCAGGCAGATTCTCTGTCACACTTGGAAGCAGTGGGAAAGCAGCTGTCTTAGAATACAAAGAATGAAAACAAGTGCTTAAAACAAAATGTAATAATGAAAATACAAGGTATGTTAAAGTATAGAACTGGAACCAGATACAAAAATATAAAAAAATTAGACGGGTTCTAAAAAAAACTAAAATGCCCTTTTCTTCCCCTTCCTTGCTCATTTCCCTGTTCTTAACTTTCATTAATTTGATTTTTATGCACTTGTGAGAGCATAACTGTGATTATGTGCAGCATTGGGCTATAGCTGGGCTTTAAAAGTCAATGCAAGCTACCAGGCATGCCAATTGTTACCCCAGGCAGCCTAATGGCATGGCGGTTCAGGAAGTGTATCCATGACTGCCTCAGCTCACAGGAATAGGTTGGATGGCATTGGGCATCTTTCAACAGGGAAGTGGGAATCCTGGCTAGGAGCATTGCTAGGATTCAGAACAGTCCCAGAATTCTCTGCCAACTCTCAGATTGACTTTATACAGAATATTATGAGAATTGTATTTCCACTACCGTTGGTCTACTGGTTGTGCTAACACAGGATCGAGTCCAGGAATTACAGAAACAAGCAGTGTGATACTAGCCAATTTGGTTGGTCAAAGTTGTGGTCTTTAGACAATACCTCATATGTGTATTCTAATGAAATGTTATCTTGTAGGTGGCCTCAAATCAGTTTTCCATTTCTGTGACTTGTTCAAATAGATAAATATAGATATTTAGATAAGAAAGTATATAATATTTTTTTTTTATATTTTTTTTCACATTTCTGCAGTTATTTGCTGGTTTTTCGGGCCTGGAAAAATTATGTCTTACATCCCAGGTGTCTTTGAGCAGTTGGAGGAGGCACCCTCCTACCTGCATGCCTGAGCTAAGGGCAGATGGATTTCAGTAATTAACTGCTACATGAATCATCTGCCCTTACTCAAAATGGCCACAGCCAGAAATGCTAGAGGGTGTTTTTCAAAGTGATTTCTCAACAAAATAAAGCATGGAGACATGGATGGATGGGGAAGTTTGTTTTCAATAAAACCAGCTGAATTTTGTCATTACTTAAAATAACAAAGCAAAACAGAAATGTGCTTGTGGGTAAATAGGCTTTCTTTTAGCAATATTGTCTTGCAAATAATATTTTAATATTTGTAATCAATAGACAAAAAGGCTTAAAAATTAAAAAAAAGAAAAGAAATGTGTTTTTTCAATTTGAGCAGTGTTAGTTTTAAATGCAGCAACTTTAATGTAAATAAAAAGTTTTCATTTTGATTCTATACTTTGTACTGTTTAAAATGACACTAAAATGATGATTCGGTACAAAAAAAGCAATTTTTCCAGCATTGCAATATTTTTTGCTAAAAAAAAAAAATCAAATGTAATGAATGAAAACAAGACAAGGTTTAAATATTAATGGTAAAAAATTGAAATAATGACCAATTAACAGCTAAGGAGAAAAGGGAAGCAAGGAGTTAATTAAATTATTTTCTAAAAAGTATAATAGTATAAAAGTATAATATATACATATATGTACTGTACATATTTAAGTAAATTATGATTACCAATGGTTACGCTAGAAGAAACTATAGACAAAGATAACAGTCCCCCTTTACCATTATTCCTGTGAGACATCACATGAACATACTTGCTATACATAGCGTTCCCTATTCATTCTTCCTTCCACATGTCTGTCAACTAGGGATCCCCCCATTTGTCCTTTTTCAAGGGAGTATTGCTTTGGTTTCTGACTGGCCAATGATTGTATTGAAAAGATCCAAAAAATGATGAAGCATTTATTATGTCAAACCACATTCATAAACAAACTTCCAAGACATTTGTTTAACCCCCTAGTGACTGAGGGTAAAACAAATGTTAAGGCCTAAACACAATTTTGCAACCTTGACATTTGTTGATAAAACCGTACATATTATCAACTACTGTGTGTATCCAGGTGGATTATACCTTGTTTTTTTTTATCAGAACAAGTTGAGCTTTCCCTTGGTGGTAAAGGGTAACGGACATCTCTGATTTTGTTTATTATCAAAGGAAAACTTGTCCAAAATAATAAAAGAAATAATAGTAAAAAAATAAATAAATTACATTTAACTGTATGTTTCTTTCTACTAACATAACCTATCACCAAAGAACAACTCAAAATAAATTCTGCTCCTGATGATCGCAGTGATACCACATATGTGTATGGTATTTTTTGTTTGTACACATAGTAGGGCACAGAAACAATAGTGCGTACTTTTTTTTTTTTATCCTACCTAAAACATACTGACACTAATTTTAAAAAATGTTTTTTTTTTTTTTTAAATTCTCCAAAATATACTGATCATGACCTTTGACCCTGGCCTTGATTGGTTTTCATGCAGATCTGCACCAGATTTTGCTCTCTCCAGTTATAGTAAATAACCCCATTGCATCTTTCTCTTTATTCAGAAGAGGAAGTAAGCACAGAGGTGGGCTCACAGTGACTGATTACTATGATAGCCAATCAGAAACTATCACAGCAATCATGTGACCCGGAACCAGGAGTCCCGGGTCCCAATAGTTAGTATGAGACCTGGGGCTTTCAGCGAGAGCCCGGTCTCCATGTCGGGCACAAAGAGAGATGTGCATAAAGAGATGGATAAAGACCCACTTCTGTTAGGCGGCATTTATGTGTAAGGACAGCGGGAAGGGGTTAAGTCTAAAACAATTTAATAACAAATATGATTGGGAGTATACAAAATAAGGTACAGGGCCATGCTCTTCAATAAATTGCAACAAGTCAAACATAAATGATAGATAGTCAAAATATATGTCCCAGAACCCACTGCTCCAAGCTTCAGCAGTCTCCATTCATTGTGGGCACGCTGGGGGCTGATCTCAGGAGTCCATCCATGCTTCTTGTAAATACAACACCAAAAAAGAAAAGCCACCAGCTTCATTGGATTTATTAAAGTGGAACTTTGGTCAGAAAATTAAGTCCAGCTAGATCACATCAGGCTGGCCCCTACTGCAGGTATAGCCATGCTAACATTACAAATAAGTGCCTACATGCTGTTTAAAATCCAATACTCCTGCTCAGCAAATGCTCGGTTACTCTCTATTTTAAGGCACTGTATCGAAAATAAGAGCCACTAGAGGCTGCTCTGCTGACAGCCTAATGATTACTGCTGCTCAGGGCTGTGGGCTTCAGTAAAATGGCCGCCTCTGGCATGAAGAAGAAACAAGAACAAGGCTGGAGGCATTTACAGCACACACTAATTTTGGTAGCATATTTATTATTGTGGAATGTATTTTCCTTGCTAAAAAAATATTATTATTTTATCAAGTTGTTATGGGTAAATTTCCACTTTAAGTCATACAACCCATGCTGTAAGCCCCTCCCCTTCTGATGTATTTCATCTTTATGGCTTTCTTTCTTGACAAAAAAATATAGGTATAGCAATTGCAAACATATCACACACAAACACATGAGTTTATATTGGGTAAAATCCTGGAAAGTAGGAGAATTAACTAATTTTGCTTTTTCTATAACAAAAATGTGATCCAAATTTAGTTCACCATTGTTTACAAACCGCACATGTGTGCTACATGGACAGACATTTCCAATATGATGACTCTGCACTTGATGTTCACAAGTGCTCATAATTGATTGAGAGTTAAAGGAAACCCATCATAACACAAATATGCAGACAGTTATTGCTGACCTTTCCTTCTAAAAATGCAAATTATCTGGTAGTCATTCTGATACTTTGGGTTTAATACTTTCTGAATCACTGACTTGGAGCAAGTGTAGAAATAAAGAAATCAGATTTGTTCTTCTTTTTTTTTTATGCATGCCTGTTATGGTTGTATTAATAAGAAATATTAAAGTCACATAGTTACATAGTTAGTCTGGCTGAAAAAAGACAAACGTCCATCCAGTTAAACCATTAAAAAAAAAAAAAAAAAAGTTATAATACTCTACCCACAGTTGATCCAGAGGAAAGCAAAGAAACCCAGCAAAGCACGATCCAATCTGCTCCTGCTGGGAAAAAAATTCCTTCCTGATCCCCCGAGAGGCAATCGGGTAGTCCCTTGATCGACTTTACCTATAAATGTTAGTATCCAGTTATATTCTGTGTATCTAGGAAAGAATACAGGCCTTTTTTAACCGCCTCCTGCCTGCCATATAGTAATATGACGAACGCAAGGTGGTTCTCTCATTCTGGGAACGTCATATGACGTCCTCCCATTCTAACCGCGCATGCGCGGCTCCCAGAGCGCTCAGCGCGGCGAACAGCAGTGCACTGTGTCCCTCGGACACAGCGGATCACCGATCCACGGAAAGAGCCGAAGATGTCGGCTTGGTCATGTGATCAGCTGTTTCCAATCACAGCTGATCACATGTAAACAGGGAAATGCCGGTTATCGGCATTTCTCTCCCACGAGCTGCAACGCTGACAGCTCGTGAGGAGAGAGAGCTGGTAATCGGCATTCCTCGGAGGGACATGTACACAGATCATCAGAGCACTGATGATCAGTGTGCCCTGATGATCTTCGTAGCCCCGGCATCGCCACCTGTCAGTGTCCATTAGTACCAGCTCTCAGTGCTCATCCATGCCACCTGCCAGTGCCCATCAGTGCCACATCAATGCCACATATCAGTTCCCATCAGTGCCACATCAATGCTACATATCAGTGCCCATCTGAGCTGCCTTTCAGTGTCACCCATCAGTGCCAGTCAGTGCCACCTATCAATGCCAGTCAGTGCCACCTATCAGTGCTGCCAGTCAGTGCTGCCTATCAGTGCCAGTCAGTGCCACCTATCAGTGCGAGTCAGTGCCACCTATCAGTGTGCATCAGTGCCGCCTATCAGTGCCCGTCAGTGCTGCGTATAAGTGCCACCTAACAGTGCCAGTCAGTGCCACCTAACAGTGCCAGTCAGTGCCACCTATCAGTGGCGCCTTTTAGTGCCCATCAGTGCCACCTACCAGTGCCTCCTCATCAGTGCCCATCAGTGCCACCTATCAGTGTCCATCAGTGCAGCCTATCAGTGGCCATCACTGCAGCCTCATTAGCGTACATCAGTGAAGAGAGAAAAATCACTTATTTACAAAATTTTATAACAAAAACTAAGAAAAAAAATATTTTTTTCAAAATTTTGGTGAGGTGATTAAAGGTGAGGTGAGGTGATTAAATACCACCAAAATAAATCTCTATCTGCCACAAAAAAATGATAAATATTTCATACGGTACAGTGTTGCATGACCGCAAAATTGTCATTCAACAGCGCTGAAAGCTGGAAATTGGTCTGAGCAGGAAGGGGGTATAAGTGCCCTGTAGGCTAGTGGTTAAAGCAATCCACTGACCTGGCCAGAACAAACTCTTGAGGGAGTCTATTCCACATTTTCACAGCTCTCACTGTGAAGAAACCTTTCCATGTTTGGAGATTAAATTTATTTTCCTCCAGACGTAAAGAGTGCCCCCTTGTCCTCTGTGATGACCTCAGAGTGAATAGCTCTACACCAAGTTCACTAAATGAACCTCTGATGTATTTATACATGTTGATCATATCCCCACTTAATCTCCTCTTCTCAAGAGAGAATAAATTCAGTTCCTCTAATCTTTCCTCATAGCTGAGCTCCTCCATGCCTCGTATCAGTTTGGTTGCCCTTCTCTGCACTCTCCAGTTCCCCAATGTTATTTTTGTGAATTGGTGCCCAAAACTGAACTGCATATTCCAGATGAGGTATTACTAATGATATGTACAGGGGTAATATGATATCTCTCTCTGGAGTCTATACCTCTTTTAATACAAGAGAGGAGTTTGCTCGCTTTAGAAACCACAGCTTGGCATTGCATGTCGTTATTAAGCTTGTGATCTACTAGAACTCCCAGATCCTTCTCCACCATTGATTCCCCCAGTTGTACCCCCCTAGTATGTATGATACATGCATATTCTTAGCCCCCAAGTGCATAACCTTACATTTATCAACATCAAACCTCATTTGCCACATAGTTGCCCAATTAAACAGTGCATTGAGGTCGGCTTGTAAGTTGGAGACATCCTGTAAGGCCGTTATTCCACTGCACAGCTTGGTGTCATCTGCAAAGACTGAAATGGGATTTTTAATCCCAGCCCCTATATCGTTTATAAATGTATTAAAAAGTAAGGGTCCCAACACTGAACCTTGGGGTACACCACTTTCAACCCTAGACCATTCAGAGTATGAATCATTAACCACTACTCTCTGAATACAATCTTTTAGCCAGTTTTCTATCCATTTACATACAGATTTTTCCAAGCCTGTAGACGTTACCTTACCATTAGCCGTGTGTGGGGAACTGTGTCAAATGCTTTTGCAAAATCCAAGTATACCACGTCCACCGCCACCCCTCTGTCCATGGTTTTGCTCACCTCCTCAAAAAGAAATCAGATTTGTTTGACAACTTCTGTCTTTCATGAATCCATGCTGTCTGTTGCTTAAAATATTTTTTTCCAGCAAGAACTCATCTATGTCAGACACAGACATACAACTAGTATTTTCAGAGGAAGACCAGCAGTGGCAGTGCACACATTTCCTTCATGACAGGTTTTCCTGAGCTGGAGCGCCCACAAGACAACTTAGGGAGGAATCTAGGGTCCAGTGATGTCCAGGAGGGCCCAGGTACAACCTTCATGCTCCTCCCAGGGATATGGTGCAATTGGCAAAAACTGTACACCTGCTTGCCTGTCACTTCACAAGGGAGGATGCACTTGTAGGCAGTTGGTATCCAATGGAGCAGCACATTCCAACACAGACAATGCAAATGGGGCAGCTTCTCTACCTATTGCAATCCTTATTAGCCTGCATGCACACTGGCTTAAAAAAAACACCAGTACTTTTGGTGGAAAAATATTCTAATTTTGAGTGTTTTTTTTTTGTACTAGCGTTTAGGAGCATTTAGCATTTTCATTCTGCCAGTAAAACACTCTCAAAAACGCAAACCAGAAGTTTTCTTTTCTGCCTCTAAACACTGAGTTTCAAAAAGCTTCTAGACTACCTAATCTACCTAATGTGCACAGACACATACGGTAACATAAGTTGCTCCTACAAGCAGAATGTTAAACTCCTCAAGGAGCAGCATTTTTTAAGCCATTGTGCAATGTCCACCAAAGAGATGAAGGTAGAGGGATAAAGCTGTTACTTTACCAAAGACCATATTCTGACTTTAGCCCCTGACGTTAACTCCCAATCAATGATAAGCAATTGAGTACATCAGTAGTGCTCACAATCACAATCAGAGAGCCATCACGTTGAACATGTCTGTAATTCTCTCTTCATCACAGTGCTATTCTCTCTCCATCACACTGCTAGACAGCCTGATTGTCATAAGCTCTCACTTTCCATTTCCTGTCAATATTCTTTGATGGCACTTAATGTCAACCATAGTAATTATAGGACAGCAAGACATTCAGGCCAAATTTTTTTTTTTAATTCCTATCACATAAACAGGCATACATGTGTAACGGACAGAAGGTGAAGCCACTCCTAAGGCCTCTTTAATCCTGAAGTTTAAAGCCGCCATAGATGATTCAAATCTCAGCAGGTTCAGCAAGGACCGGCCCCAGTATGGATCCATGTATTGGCAGGCTGATTGTACCCAAGTCAATCCATCGGTCGACTTGGGTACTAGCAGCATGTCTGATTTCTAGCATGCGATTATTGCCAGCAGCTATAACACAATAGCTCCATGGGAGGGATTGCAGAAAAGGAAATCTTATCATCTATGGCCTGCCAAACTTGCAGGCACCCACTCCTATGTGGGCCGTCTCTCCCATACATCATTTAGAAAAGTTGTTTACAGCTTTACTGTTCAGCACATGCAGAAACACAGACACTCCACCCAGGAGTTGATTTTACCCTTAGGAAGTGGTGTGCGGCTCCAGGACTTTGCCAAAGACAGCACGTGGATGCATACTAAGCAGGTAAGGAAAGACTCAGCTCAGGCTTATTTCAAAGAAAACTGTAGGAATCAGCTGAAAACAGTGCTCATTGGCTGTTGGGTTGGTGGGCTGTATTTGGTGGCATCTCTAGGTGTGCAGAAATATGAGAGGTTACTGCTCTTATCCAGCCAAATCAACCAAATTAAACTACAATCAATACGTATTAATGGCTACCTTAAGTCTGGGTTCACACTGATTAGGTGCGGAATTCGCATCGGTTTCTGTTTGATTTCCACACTGCATCATAATCGCACTCCGTTTGCACAAACTGCTGCAGGTGTGCATTTTAAGTTTAACACCACCCCGAAAGCAGTTCACAAAACGTGGGGCAATGTGAACACCCATGCGATCCGATTCTGGTGCAGACAAAAAAAGGGTTCTGCACATTTTTGGTGCAGATGTGGTGGGATTTGAGCCATACAAAATATATGTCTCAAATTGCACTGCACAGAAATCGCATGTGTTTTGCACAGGAATGCGGTGCAATTCCTGTGCGAATCACATGTGATGTGCAGCACCACATCAGTGTGAACCCGGGCTTTGAGCTACTTAAGGATGTAGTGAAATCTACAGTTGATTAAATAACACAGATAATAAAGATAGACAAAGGGCCACTCCTTTGCTCCATGCAGTGGCAGATGTATAATGCAGAGGAGCCCGGTTCAAATAATGTTTTTATCCTCCATTTAACACATATGCTCTACATATTTACACTGGCGCCATGGTGCCTGAGCCTGTTTCTGGGCACCAGGAAAATGTTGCGTCTCCTAGGAAAGCTGTCCATTTTGTTTTCCCTGTGAAATCTCACCATTCACTACCCCTATTTTCCAATCTTTGGGATGGATTTACTAAAGCCCCATAGGCTGTTCACTTTGCAAGGGGTTTTTAGTGAACGAGGTAAAACTCTGCTTCCACTATCCAATCATATGCATGCAAAAAATACAATATATGTATTTCTTTGTACATGATATTATTTTTACAATTTTCACCACATTCAATGAACTAAGAGAAAATGCACCTGCAAACTGAAAATTCCCCAGGAAAATGAACAGTCTATTTACCTTTAGTAAATCAACTTCTATGTTTCCAGCATCTGTGGACCTAATCCAGTATCCCTCCTGTTAACATTTAAAAAACAACATTTGGATCTGATTCCTTGAGAGATGGGTACGTGATCAGCAGTGAAAAAAGACCCTCACCTCATGTGCACATCAGTAGTTTTGATGTAATAGTTTTGGCACCAAGGGTGGAAAAAAGGCAATTTGTTTATTTCTAAACACATTTTTGACATGTGTAATGTAACCATGTAATCAGGTGTAATTTTATCTTTCCATTTCAAGCTATAGTTGCTATTTTCTAAAACTCAAAAAATAGACCTTCTTTTGATTTACTTTACCTTTAGTCCTTCAATATAAAGGAATGTCAAGCTTCTCCTTTCCCTATCACAACAATGAAACTCTCCAGGTGATTATAAGGAGGTCATCCTACAAGATTTTGATAGGAAAGCGCTTGATATAGTCTACCTCAAGGTACTCCAAACTTTCTAAACAAAGGCCCAGGCTATTGATCTTCAGACTTTAGGAGGGCCAGACTATGGCCAGTGGGAGTAGAAAATGCCTCAGGCTTGGTGATCAGTGAAAGAAAAAAAATACATAGTGCCTGTGGTCAGCAAGAGCAGGAATAGTGCCCCATCATTGGTGTCAATGGAAGGAATAGTGCTCCATCGTCATTGTCAGTGAGAGGGATAGTGCCTCATTGTTTGTGTCAATGGGAGGAATAGTGCCTCATCATTGGTGTCAGTGGAAGGATCGTGCCCCATTGTTGGTGTCTAGTGATGGGCCGAACACCCCTGTTTGGTTCACAGTCAAACATTTGAACCTACTGAAAGTTTGACCATGAACTTCAAATAGGGACAATACAC